GAGGACGGCTTTGCAATGAAAAATACAGCTATACTGGAGCTGAAAAAAAGAAGAAAAAACGTGCACAGGATGAGACTCGAGTACACGCATACTTTCCCAGCAGGTGAAACGCAATCTTTTGTGAAAATTGCGTGACGCCGACTGACCAGTAATTTCGCCTGACGAATATGATCCCTTTCTTTCTATCTTCACCAAGTTTCAACTGAATATGACTATCATAACGCCCCAAGGAATGGATTACATTTGGGTTGATATGATGCTATGAATATGAACGTTTTAGATTCTAAGCATTGTGTAAAATGACTATGTTTAGTGTTATTTCATCGCATTCTTCCATTCTACACACATACATGTACATGCTAGAACAGTGACAAGTACTAATGCCAAAAAACCAAAGTCTTCCGCAAGCAATTAGAGCCCTAAAGAAGTGGCTTCCCAGCATCCACTGAAACCAAAAAGTTTTAAAGAACCACAACATGTGCATTACAATTGAAATAGAGCATGGCCCGGGTCTGGCAACACCATAGAAGCATGATTACTTGAAGATCATAGTAGCGTGTGGACTATGAACAGAACAATGAACCGGAATAAATAAGAAGAGGATTATTCAATGAATTATTACAGTACTGGATGTCAAGCACCGGGGAAAACACTGGGAACAGAAGATTTAGCAACAACAGGAACAACAACAATGACAACAACAACAATGGTAACAAATTACCATCAAGATCAAAGGAGGAGTCAACCAACAGAGGTTCAGCAGCGTGAAGCGAGCCTGGGACCGATCGGTGGTGATGAGGAGAATGACACGGAGGACGACACTGAGGATGAGTTGGAAGATGAGACGGGGGACGAGGTTGCGGTTGGTGGAGACGAGGAATCGGATGGTGATTTGATCGTAAGAAGTCTGCCGTTTTTCTTCATCTGTTGTCTCATCCTAAGTGTCTGCAGGTGTATGATGATTTTAGTTTTTCTGTTCTTTGTCGTGCACGGTACGCTAGTCAGTTGAAAGTACTTGAGGCTGTTTGTATTCGTTTGCATAAGCCTGATCTTTGTAAGCAGAAGAAACATGTAGTTGCGTTAAGATTGTTTTCGTAGGTGCACAGCATGATTGTTTGTCTCACTACACAGTTCTAGCGTTGCAATTAGTTCCTCACCCCTGTTGCACTTAGCTCTCACTTTACTTCTATTGTCTCACCTTCCCTCATTCTATTTTTAGCACTTTGTTTTGTTCTCGTAACACATTATTGAATGTATATAAATTATTGATTTGGCATGGTTATTCTTCAGTCACGGCTTTCCACTGATGATTGTGACAAGAAAATCGATTTTGGTAAACCTTCATGACTTTGTTGTAGTGTGGCGATGACAGCAGAATTTGTTCTCTTTATAGCTATTATAAAACTGTTGTCTCCGCGTCGATTATTTAAGTAAATAAGAAAGAAGAAGAAATTGTCCGAAGGGCCTCCAGGAGGACGTGTCCAAACCTGTGCCACACATGGTCATCAGCTCAACTGGATCCACTGGATGATGGTGGGTTTCCTCTTGGTGTCGGCCGAGCAGCATATCCAGTTGGTAGCCTGGGTCCGCTGTAATTGCTGGGCCGTGGGAGTCTAGGCTGCATCAGGAAGGCTGGTCAAGGTGAAACAGCCACCGTTGCCCTGGGTAGTGGAGTTGAAACACTCCTAGGCCAGAAGGATGTACCAGGGGATGCTGATGGCGACATGGTGGCCGCCGGGGACGGGAGACTGCTGATGGTCGTGGTTGTTGACGCTGACGCTGGGGAACATGACACTGGGATTTCGTAGAAGAGGTTGACAAGCTCTCGTATATTCTTGTCTTGCTTCTCCAGGTCATCGCTCGTTATTATTATTAATTCAACATCTCCTGGCTCGTCAGGAGACTGCCAATATATATGAGAAGTTATAGGAGAATAGAATGCTCTGACAGCGAGCGTTGCTTGCTTGCTAGCTGAATCTGTGCTGGGTTCATCCGGCTCAATATTTGATGCCATATCAGTATCAGATGTCGTTTTATGGCTTTCTTCTCCATTAGCAGATCCAGTGCTGTCGCTACTACTGCTATTACATGAACTTTCTGGGCCTGGTTCGGCAGGCTCCTCACAAACGGGATCCATAAAAGGGCGATTTTACATTATTTCTGCTACTGAAGCGATCGCGAAGAGCAACAAACTGCTCTAAAATAAAGACAAACCTAGTCTTCTTGAACAAAACACATGCTGGGAAAGGAAGATGAAGACCGAGGGAAGTCTCTCACTGTGCTATATTTGGAATATTGTACCGCATGCATTGGATATATACGAGACGGTTTGCTGATTTTACGCATTTGCTTAGAAACGAAAAATGCTTAGAAATGCATAATCACCTCGTACATGTGTGTGTGTGTATGCGGGGTTGAGAAGACACTAATGTGTCCGCACAAAGCGAAAGGTAGTGTCAGAAACGGCCGAGTTCACACTCCGGTGCCAATTACTTGAATGCAGGAGGAATTTTGGACTGCCTCTCTGTCTTTCTCAGTCTCTCTCCATCTCTCTCACATTTTCTCTCTCTCAATCTCTCTGTCTGTCACTCGCTCTCCATCTCAGTGTATATGTATGCGTGCACCTTCCCGTACAGTTGTCAATAGGCGCATTGCTACCCCTACCTTCGTGGAAAGTGGGACCGTGTTGTCAACATTTGCACTGGAAAAGGCCTACAATAAAACAATACCCGTAACACCGGGTTATGCTATACACCAGACAGGCCATCCAAACATGGTTGACCTTGTTACGACTAAGGATGTTGCTGTGAACAGCAAGATAACCATTATAGCACTGGTATACGATGAAGAGCGTACTCTCTACACCTTTGAACTCGCCTTGATTTCCCGAGCTGCACCCGTTGTGACACAAGAGAGATTGTCCGTAACCCTGTCTCGGCTTTTCCTGGATGGGATTTCCATCAGCACAAATCTATCCAAGCCGGCAACACTCATTCGTAACGTGAGTGTGTTGCTTAGCAACCCAGCACTTCAAAATGTAACAGTTACAGCCATGGGAAAGGATGTCAAGATGAAATGGGAGCTACCAAGTGCTGACCTACAACTGGACAATCTGTTCACTGTCAACGTTATTGTTGAGGATAATGCTGAAGGACTAATGTTTCCTGGTAGCACTGGCATGTATAACATCACTGCCCTTCGCAATGGAGTGTCCTCATCAAATGTCACCGTCTTTGTGGAAGGTGAGTTAAGAACAACAGGGGCAATTCTTAGAACACGGAAGAATGGCTCATGGTCTATGCAACTTGTGATGGCAGCTTTGATCCAATGATAACTAGACAGCGATGCCTTATGTACAAATCAAAAGATCAGCCCTGCACCAAGTTTAACTGACACACCATGCTCAGGAGAAATAACCCACATGATTGAGTTTAACAGTTATCCGTGGTTCCTACGTTTGCTGCGACTTCCTCATGTACACATTCCAGCATGCGGATCACATCTTTCCTCCCCCCTCCCCCCCCCCCCCTTGCCCCCGCCCCAACACTATGTTTTCTAATGAACACAGAATATGCATCAAATTACATGTAAATGTACATTGAAAATCAACACAATTTTGCGAATCGACCTTTCTTCAGTATCACTTTTCAACGAGGACAAAGCAAAGTAGAGGAGGCAAAACGGAGCCTAGAGGAAGAGGATCATCCTCTCCACTTCAACATCATGATACTGACATAGGTACAACACGAAACAACTAAAAAAATTGAAAAGAAAAATGACCAAGGAACTGCAAGTTACGCTATAATGTCCAACTCCCTCTGTCTCTGACTCTCTCTCTCTGTCTCTCTCCCTCTTTCTTTTTTCTCTCTCTCTCTCTTTCTCTCTCTCCGTACAAACCGATAATTCAAATGAGCTTGACTTCATCTCGTTTTGCAAGGCGGGAGAGAAGCCAGTTCGCGTTCAGCCCAGACGAAAGTTGGTTACGACTGATCTCCTGTCAGCGGCATCGGACTGGAAACTTCTTGTCGAGTCAGTTAGTGCAAAGATTTCTTTCCCTAGCTGTGTTGCACTTACCACCCTAAGACCAGATATAGTTCTGTACTCTACGAGTCGTAGGATTGTATTCTGGATGGAGTTGATAGTTTGTGCTGAGGACAGATTCAGTGTCAGTAACTCGCGGAAGGACAGGCGGTATGCGGATCTGGCCGATCAATGCCGAGCAAACGGGTGGCAGGTCGTTTCTTTTTCGGTTGAGGTAGGTGTGCGTGGTTTCATCCTGGACTCTCTTCGGAGGGCTCTGAAAGCACTTGGGTTTTCTAATCGAAGAATAAAATTTATTTGTAATTTGTGCAGTAAGACGTCTCTGCGAAGCAGCTACATCATCTGGTTGCGGCGTCAACAAAAACACTGGTCGGAAGATCCACTTTTCTGAGGTACTGTATGTGGGGCTCCGTTTATTGAGGTGCGTTGAAATTTATTCTCTTTATTTTATTATTTCTTTTCTATAATTTCCCCATATGAGTTCCTATCAGTTGCTGTGAACACCTTGAGTGGAGAGCGCTTGCTCGAGCGTTGAACCGGGTTCTTAATCCACCATACCCAGTTCGCAAGGCTGGGCGGGGTTGTGAGCAGGCTTTCATTTCATCTTTTCTTATTATTTCTTATTATTTCTGCTTTTCATCTCATTACAAAAATTCTGCGCTTTTTCTCCATCTGCGCATAAAATCTAGACTGACAACCTGCTTGTTAAATCATGCACCTGCTTTCAGGCGTAAAAACCCTGTTGTAGAGGTC